AGCTTTGTGACAGGCGCAGCAAAGGAGCGGTGGAAAGGAGCCAAGTTGGCAGGAGATGCAATGGGGACAAAGGGGGAAGAGGTAGAAAGCCAAGGGGAGGGAGGTGTTGTGGCGGGGGGGGGGGGGGGGGGGGGGGAAGGAAAGGGGAAAAAAAAAAAAAAGGAAAAAATTTAAAAAAAAAAAGCAGCCAGATTGACAAATCATTCCCGGCTACGAACAATGTGTTTGGATTATGAATACGGGCTCCAGCATGTTCAGGTTTATGGTTTCTGACTTTCTACATTACTTAATGGCAATAAGTAAATCACCTAATCTGGGCATCTCACTTCCCAGCAGATGACTAATATATCATGAAAACAATTTATTGCAATCTGCGCGCGGAGCAGAAAAAACTCCCAAACAAACCCGACTCGAAGCCAGCTCGCACACTTTAAAAGGAAAACAGCATCAAGTACCCAAATATATCCCAGCAGGGAAAGTTTCTGATAAGATAACCATCTCTGACCACTCCAAACATGACGGGGTTCAGCCAAAGGTACCATGTTAAAAATAAACTATGAAAGCAGAGTATGAGTTTGTTTCAATACTTGAAAATAGTTGGGTGTTTTCCTCACCCAACACACCTTCCTGGGCAATCACCACACAGAACGTGCCTGGTGGCAGGGCACAAGCCCAAGGAAAGGTTGCAAAACCACAGAAGATCCAGATGACGCAACCTTCACCCACCCATTCAGTGCCTTAAGGCACATTAAAACAAAGCCACCCCGGGGAATGAGGTTTTCTGGAGGAGGCTGCCCTCGCCCCAGGGAGCATCAAGTTCTCCTGTCACTGGGACCAACCCATGTCTTGCTCTCAATAAGTGGGCAGTCTCCCCACGTTCGGGGCCACCACAGGAGATGGGTGCTAGAGGAGAGGGTACTCACTGGAAGAGGCCACTGCGGGGGCCGGGGAAAGCTGTTTTCCCCAGTAGGAGATAGGAGCGAGGTGTCAGATCAGCCAGCAGAGAGGAAAGCCACCAGGCTTGGGAAGGACAGAAAGGGTAGAGGCTGGCAGAGAAGGCCACCCCATTCCAGCCCCTCCAGCAAGTGACAGCAAGTACCATCATGTCCTCAGTGCCACCAGGGACAGAAGCCTACGCAAGGCAACATTCCCTGGCTACTGCTGTCACTCAGAGTTAATTGTGCATTTCCCCCTATCATCATCCCCAAGCATTCAAAAACTTCAGCCAGGTTCTCAAAATTCAGGTTTTGGTTTAAAAAAATAAAAAGTTGTTGAAATGGAAGACTAGAGGATTAAAAATTATATTTCAGCTTCTTATGCCAGAGGGTTTATGTCTTTTGAGATCCTCTATCCAGGAACATAGGGTCAGAGGCATCCCACCTACTGGAGACCCCTAGGGAGAAACCTTGAGAGAGCAGAGCTACTGCTTACACGCAGCCCTTCAGCTCTTCCCACTGGCTATAGAGAGAGAAGAGGAAAACTATGACCCTACTTAGGACGGGAGAGTGGGAAGGAGGATCAATTCCAGCACATTACACTGATTAGAGGCTCAGGTTTTTGGAAGAGCACTGATCATCTCAAGATTAATCACAACCCTGCAAGAACTGGCAATGCCAGCTTTTCTTTTTCTTCCCAGTAACATCAAAATGAGAGCAGAGATGGGCGGTACAGCTGGATGGTCTTCCAGTGTGGGCAATGCAAACACCAGAAAAACACTCCCACCCACCTCCCTACGCAAACATACACATAAATACACAGGTATTTATGTATATATAAATTATACACAAATTATATATATATTCTATACATAAATTATACATAAATCCATAGGTATTTATGTACCTATGGATGCACACACCAATCCAGAATAAACTACGAGGGAGAGACAAGGCCATTTGGGTGCCCTACAGGCTGTGATGACGAACTTAGAGCGTGGCAACCTTTGGAGAGAAACTTTCGACAGGTCTGTGCCACGGTGGGAAACCCCAGCAGCAATAGCCAGAGCTGTTCCTGCCTGCTTCTCATCTTCTCCTTCACGTCTGCAAGTCAAACCAACAGCCCTTCACACCAACTCCTCATGGGCTAATCGGAATATTTTTATATTTTTTTTAAATGAGATTTTTCTTTCACAACATTGCATCCTACCTAAAATATCTAGAAGGAAGAGGGAGGAAGGCAGACAAATTTTGCTCTGCATGTCTCCTCCACAGACACTTGGGACTCACCACTGCAGCACCAAAGAGGGGGCTTATCTGAATACACACGTGGGGTCCTAATGGGAGAGGAAATGTATAAGAACAAGAGTGTCTCCTATAGATGCTCACTGCAAGGAGACAACACTAAAACCAGAGACTCCTTAACACACAGATTACTGACTTAGAAGCTTGTGAGCATTTCCAAAGATGAACTGTAATGGTTTGTGGGCTATTATAGAAAGAAAAATGAGAGGCTGCTACAACTTGGGATTAATGAACCAATAAACCGGTCATCCATATAAAAAAAAATATGCAATTTGGACTTCTATTCAAATGTAAATAATCGTTTCAGCAGGCAGCAAATCATACAGATCCCCCCCCGTCACGGGCTTATTGACAAAATAAATGGGCCCTATTGCACTAAGGCTGCAACTTCCAAGAGCCGTGAGGCTGCCAGAGCTGTGGGGTGGATCAAGCTGCAGCCGAGCATCGGAAACAGCCACAGGAATTTCAGCAGTAAAATGCAAGGGTAGGGTTTTGTGTTTGTGTTTAATCTGTATTCTGACTTCCAGACATGGACAGGCAGCTGTCGATGCACACAGTTTAAAAGCAGAATTTTCTGGGAGCAGCTGCCAGCGTACGCTCTCTGCCACCAAATCCACCCAGCAGGGGCTCAGCACCACCAGCCGCATGGTCTTCCATTATTTTATGTATCTGTAGATACTTTTATGGAAGTACATTCAGTTCTCCACCTCACCCTGCTCTTGTGCTGCACAAGGACTGGTTTTTATTCATCCCTTCTGCACTTACACAAAAACAGGCCTCTCCACGTGTTTAATTAGAAGCCTTGGAAACAAAAACCCAAATGTTGTCAGATAATTCACATTGATGATTTGTTGAGACTGTTCTCCACGAATAACCTGCTCGCTCAAGTCAGCAGAAAGTCTCTCGTTGACCTCCACAGGCATTCAGCAAGTCCCTAAATGTTTGCTAGTCCCCTTTCATTTCTTTTTCTTTATTGTTTAAACCAGACACAAGTAGTTTTTCAAACTGAAGGAGCACAAAAATGTGAAAGCACCAAAATAATATTTCTTTTTTTGATTCTGTCTGAACTTAAAAAGGAAGGGAAAAAAAAAAAAGAAGATTGTTTTAAAGAACTCAACGTGCTCTGAAGTTGAAATCCTGGCGACAAGATTACAAGTACCCTAGCCTTACAGAAGTGTTGCCATATGGCAGGTTCTTAACAGGTCTAGTTCAAAAAATCAAATCAAACAAGCAAACAGAATTACTGAATCAAAACAGAAGCACTACCTTTTGCATTTCTATGTCTTTTTCAAAAGGATCATTCTATCTCTGCAGAAATCAATTTTATAGCTATGATCTTAATGCTGTGCTCTGCGAAAAAGCTATATTCTGCTTCCCTTTGAAAAAAATATTCATAAAATCCATGGAGCTATACAAATTACTGGCTGTACTACCTTTATGACTTCCTCTGGAAATCTTTTTCACATTTAACAGACAAGTGGGGCACACTCCTCTGTACGTGCTTGCTAATACACAGCTTTTCCTTGCTATTGAATGCTACAGCCCGTGCTGCAATGCCCCAGTGAAACCCAACACCCAGTAACACTGTTTTTTGGGGGAGCTGAAATGCAGAGGTTCAGACCTGAAAACTTCATCTCTAGGCATGGAGCAGCCTCACGTTAAAGGCTGCCATTCCCCAAGAAGCACCTTGTTTCAGCCAGGCATCCCTGGGATACACCAAAAGTTGATGCCCGGGAGGTGAAATCCCAATTCTCTCCATCCTCCAGGCACCGTTTTGGGACCAAGATCAAGAGAAGAGCTGACCTGATCTGTCACTATCACCATTTCTCCCAGAACCTAGTGGTTCTCAGCCCTTTCCCTAACCTGTCCCAACTCAGAAAGTCAAAAGAAAAATAACACAGGAAAAGGAAAACAGCATCCTGGGAGGACAGCAAGGCAGAGAGCAGCTCAGCACAAGTCCCAGAACTTAAATGTCGAAGATGCAGCTGTCAGTACTTTACTGAAAGAAAGCTCTACCATAAAAGGACTGAAAGAAAGGACCAGCTTTCTTGTGTGAAAGACAAGACTTAATTATACCAGGCTCAGTTCTTAATTTTCCAGCTTTTGCAGCATATTCACCAAAATACTTCATAAAGGCACCTGCTTGTTGGATCAGCCAATAAGTATGATCAGTTATTCTGAGTATTCTTTGCCCTTTTCATAAAGAAAACAGCTACAAATTTCACACCTGGGAAGAATGTCAGACAAAAAGGCACAAAAATGGAAATCATCTGTCCATCCTACCCGGCAGAGCAGCAACAGAGCTCCCTGGCTGACAAAATGCTCAAAGCAGAGCTATGAAGCCTCCTGCACTGAGATCCAGAACACCTCCTGGCCACCACCCCACATGGTTGGTGGCAGAGACCCCACCACCAGGACAAGCATTTGATGTACGTGCTGAAGTGAGCACCTGGAGACACCAATTCCCCATCGAATTTTGATTCTTTCATCCTATTCTTCTTCTGAAATCATGTCGTTAGAGGTGACAAAAAATGAAATACTATTTTGCAGCTGAATTACTGTTTACTGAAGCAGCGATTAACCACAGTATATGACCTTCCCTATATATGATAAAAATAGAACTGGGCATGCTTGCCAGCTATCCAGCATTTAATAGTACTTGGTTTGTTACAGAAAACACGTCTCATTTTTCTTAAGCCATGCTCAATTAATCCAGTTTGAATAAAGAACCTTTTAGCATTTAGCTACGGATCCTGGTCACTTCAAGCTGTGGCTCTGGTGGTGTTTTTCCACAAGAATCGGTCTATGCTTACAGGTGCCTATCAGAAATAAATTTTAAGCCTAAAGTGGTGTGTGAACGTGTTCCCTCCTTCCAAAGAGCTTTATCTCTGCATGTCTTCTTCCAATAAAACTCTGATAGAATTCAGCAGGAATTTTGCCTGAGAAGTACTACTTCCCCCCCTATTTTTTTTTTTTTCCCTTCAGAGCAAATCCCTAGAATTTAAAATTAAGTTGACAGAGCAAACTGAAGACTTTGAGTAACAGCAGAAGGCATACAGGTCTAAGAGAACTAATGCATGCACGCGATTAAATTTATTTTTATGCTTCCTTTGCAACGAGTTTTATATTGGGGAGGGGAGAGGGCTCTGGGTTTCAATTTATCTGAAAGCCTGATCAATAATTCTCAGCTACAACAAGCATGCCATCTAATTTCCATCCTAGAATTAACCCCTACCCTGAAAGCAGTTCTCACTTTGCACCTCTTCCGTACAAGAACCAGGCTCTCTGATGGCTAAAACAACCTCTTCGAATTTCCAGTTTAAATATACTAGAGGCTAATTTATATGTGCTTGCTGCTGTGACAGCCTTGTCCTTGACTTTAGACAGCTCCTTTCTCCTTCCAGCCTTTGCGTGTCACCAGATTAGCAAGCCAAGCTCTTCCAGGTTATGTTTATACAGCCTTTCATAGGCAAATATGCACGTGCTTTCCCTGTGCAGCTCCCTGGATGGGTGAGAGCCAGATGCAAACTGGACGCTGTGTAGATGTTACTGAGCCTGAACTGATGGGCTCTGATGAGGGCAGCAGCTTGGTCTCATGCCTCTCCGTTCACATTGAGCTCACCTCCATCTCTCTCACAGCAAGGGAGGAACGAGTGTGTGAGCAACTCCAAAATACTCCACGCACGTAGCCTTGGTCGCTCCTCTGAGAAGTTCTCCTCTCCTCTGAGAGCTTCTCCACAATCTTGCTGATCTGACTTCATCTTTTCCGAGCAGGGTTTGTCACCAGGTTACCAAACTACCTTGTCTGTGCTGTCTGCTCATGTGCCAGGATGCACCCAGAATGACAAGAGGGACAGCTTTTGTCATCCCTCCCTGAGCCCCATGGGGACAACCCACAACCTCTAGGAAAGAACAATGCCATAATACCAGGTCAGCTACAGGCATGGCCTCACAGCCCACCAGTGAGCACAGCTTTCCAACAGGATCATCAACACCCTGCACCTGGGGACAGTTCTGCCACAAAATGAGCTTTGCTTTGATTTTCCACGCAAGGGCTGCACAACAAAGCAAGCACAAGAAGCAGGAAGCCACCTACATCGTACAGGAAAGAAAAACTTGTCAGCTCTAACAAATCTGTATTTTATCAAATCAACCTGATTTTGTGTCTGAAAGTATGATCTACACAATTTTCTTCTTATTGTAATTGCGTAATAAACAACCTTAACAATAAGAAAGTGTCGATTTTTGCATTTGAATTGTGGATTAATTAATTAATTCCATGCAACAGTTTTTTTTATACGAAGCATGGCATCCTTTCAATCATTTGTGTATTTTCAGGTAGGTCCTTCAGCAGTCTCAAAGCTCATATTAAGAAAACAACCACCACAAAACCCCGAGGAACCACTCAGACATCACTAAGTCAGTATTTCCTCATCTATTACTGACTAGCTTTAATAGCTGCTCACCAGCTACAGAGCTGCTGGGACAACAGAGCCAAACAGGCATCTTCATGGGACCATTCATGTTTATTACATCTGTGCTCTGTATCAGCTAACAAAACGCCACTTAGTTTTGGCAAACAAACTTACAAACATTGGTTGTCCTTGGATCACTCCAGCTTTCAAAATAAATACTATCTACAACTCAAACACCGCAAAGGGACTGAAAACAACCCTCGCTGACAGATAAAAAGAGGAAAAAGAGAGATTACTTATCAAATGTGCTCACGTTTGCTTTCTATCTGTAAATGTTAGACCCTGTACATCCATAATGTTCAAAACCAATATGGAAATACAAATAAAACTAGACACAATGGAGAAAAATAGTTCCTAAAAACAGGGTGTCCCAAATTTTATGTTACAGCTTGAAAGATCTAACTTACCTAATTCTTTTCAAAGGTTTTTGCTGATCAAAAGTTTGCTGCAACTGTCGCTTCTATCTCATCTTTTATACGCTAGTATTATTGATAATGTGTTGAGAGTTAGAAATAGGTGAATATCAACTATCAGAAATAGCTGAACATTAGAGTGAACTCTGAATATCTAAGCATAAATCTTTCCCTGCTGACTTTGTCTCAAAGGTATGGAGAACACAGTTTGCGACCCCCAAGTTTGGAAGACACTAGGGAGTACACAGCAGGAATCAATGAAGATGTTTGGAACAAGCGAGGCTGCTGTACCAAGAAACGTCAGCGGCGAGGAACGCTTTCTGCGCAGCTCTCCCCTGCCAGACCAGGTGGCTTTTCCCCATCCCCTCACCCAGGAAGGCGGGCACTCCAAACCGCCTTCTCTCTCGACAGGGATGAATCGCTCCATTCACCAGTTTGCACGGTGCTCAAAAGTCAATGCAGGCTTTGAGAAGTGTCCCTGCCCCTCCACGTTTCTAAGGACTCGGTGTTCCCCACCCCTGCGTCCACTGGGAAGCGTATAAATCCCAGACACGCACCGGATTGTGAATTCACACGAGCTATTAAGCATTAAACTGGAAGGAAATCTTAACCACTAACCTCAGTCACATTCAGAAGGGTAAAGCTAGGAGGGCATTCTCCCAGACAATGCTCTGGGAGTTCTGTTAGTTCCCAAGGATTCCGCAAAGCGTTTTTCTCTCGTTACCTTGGTAACCGCTACCTTGGCACCCCTGTTGATAAGCTGCACCACATTCTCCACTTGGCCTTTGTAGGCAGCTACGAGCAGGCGTTCTGAAAGCACGGCGACCACATCCTGCTGGCTCATGAATTAGGAGAGAAAGGTTTTCAAGGTTTCTTCAGTCCAAAAACGAAGGGTTCAAGCAGCATGCAGGCAGGCGAGGAAGGACCCCAGCTCCCTGGACGGTGACGTCGTTGCTATGCCATCCTCTGGACCTGTGGATCAGAAAACATCACTGCTGTCAGCAAGGTTTTGGAGACAGAAGCACTGCAGCAGCTCCTCCCCGAGTGTTTGTCTTCACATCTCTTTGGAGGGGGGTCACAAAAACCCCTCCAAGCCTCCTAAAGGCATTGCACTTCTGTTGCAATGCAGAGGGACATAGCACGTCTTGATTCCTCTACTTTGGGACAAAACCCATTAAACTTTCTGAAAGCATAACTCTCTTTTTGGCCTAACCTGTATTTTTGTGGCCCCCCCATCATCCTCTCCTTTCCCCTAGGTCTCCCAGATTTGAACTGGTCAAGGATGGGTTAACTACCTCCACTGCCTGTGTCGGCCAAGGGAACAAGAACAGGTTATAGTTACTGGTTGCGGATATAAATACACAAACCTGAGCCCTGGAAGGACTGAGTGCAGTCAGCAATTAAAGGCAGCTGACTGTTTCCTCACGGGTATAAAATGCTTCACAGCCTCCCCTGAACCATCCCAAGGACACCTTTGGGAGGGACTGCAACCTGCAACTGGGCAACACTCATCTTTGCTGTCAGTGAGAAACGATGTTCCCTCCGCAGCGCTGACATGGCACCACACCGACCCCAGAAACTATGCAGATTTAGCACCTGTCATGCAAACTTGTGGGCATCTTCTTCTTCCCGGGCTCCACTGACCCATCCAGTGAACCACTGGAGCTGAAAAGTGATCTCTGACATAATTTCAGAAAATGTATCCACAGATGACTTTGAGCTGTAGGATCCCAGAACCTGGGAGCGTTTGAGCTTTACTGGTGCTTTTCCCATCTCAGTATTTAATTGTTTCAGCACGGGAAAAACATCTTCAAGACAAACAGTGTGTACACAGATGATTGATCTTTCTCTCTCTTGAAATAGCACTGGACTGCTCCACCAGCTACCAGTATTACAGGCTTTGCATAGTCTGAGGGTAATTGGTACAGCAACTAGATGATCTTGGAGATTGATAGTGGAATACAACATCTTTCACCCTTACGTTATATCCCTTTGAATCCATCTCAAACCAGCAATCACTAAAAGCTATTACTGTTTAATGGCTTAGATGCCCCCTAAATTGATTTGTTTTTACAAACCCCTCCCCATCATAATCCCACCACTCAGAGTAGTGACATTTTTGCTAACAGCTTCAGCAGGCAGATCATCTCCAGAACAGTGGAAAGATTTAATTTCCATCCTCATACCAGGAGGGCACTTGCAGGAACAAGGAGAAAATGCATGGGTGGCTGTAGCACATGAACTCCCCGTCTTCTAAATACTGGGGGCGAGACCTTTTAATAAACATCACCCCAGTGTTATAAGATCACATCCAGCAGTACACCTCCGCAACAAAAAGGTGCTGCAGCCCTGTTTAATTGAAGGGTTAATAAGGTATCGTGTTCTTCTGTGTCACCAAAGTGGTGTCCAAAGTCCTTGGACCCTGCAGGATCACTGATCTATACTAAACAGTTTTGATCACAAGCACACACGTATTAAAACCATGTTGGTTAACTTGTAGTAGTAGAGGATACTTGCAGAATTTAATTTACGCTCCTAAAGTAATTTGTATTAATGAACCTTAAAATGTTTTATGAGCATTAATTCTTATAACACCCTTTGAGGTGAGTATTATGCTCAAGAACATTACACACATTTTAGAAAAGGGCCATTTAAAGCACAGGAAAGTCCCTGATTTCTTCAAGGTCAACAGAAAAGTTATGTCAAAGCCAGGAATTAACTCCAGATAATTGACTCTTGATTTCTAAGTATAAGCATTAGGCAATACTATCTCCAAGTAAAAGATTCAGGTTGGCTCTTTACCATCCACTTGCTTTCTAGGTGTGAACATGATTGGAGTCACATAGAAACAGCTGCACATTTATTCAGAGAAACAAGACAAAAACTTTCTGGGTCTCAAAAGCAGCACAAGAATAGGCATCAGAGAAGCAACGCTGCACCCTGTGCCACTAGATCAGTCTTACCCACACCCTCAACGTGATGGGCACAGTTTGGACAACTTGGCAACACAAAAAAAGATGGAATTAAGAAGAAAAAGCCTTCATTTCCTTCACCAGCACGGTACACATCGCACACACAGAGGGATGTGCCCAGCATAGTACAAACCACATACAAAAGCCAAGAAATACAGATGCCCTACACTTTATAATTTGATCTGTGAAAAGCAACCCAAGTTTAGATCTCACCTTTGCTTTCCAGTGACACACGTTACCAAAGCAAGCTGACCCCCCTGAGCCCAGCCACCCTGCTCCCAACACCTCTCTGACCCTCCCATCACATCCCAAAGCAGCATCTTCATAACCCAGGAGCACTTCCAGGGCAAGCCTTACAACAGGGATTCTATCTCCATCAGCTTTTCGGGCAGTGGGGTGCTTTGTTTCTGTGCCAGCCCTTGCCTGTGCAGAGGTAGTTTCCAGGTGAACTGTTCCATCACTTGTTTGTCCCCATCCTTACACCTAACCTGGAGGCAGTCAGGCACAATACACTGACAGCCAGCTCTGTGCACCTTCAAACACGTGCGGCCAGACCCTGCTTAGTTTTCTTCCCTCTTTAAATTAAAAAAAAAAAAAACCCACAGTAACATCACTGACACTGAGAAATTTCCATGTTCACTGCAAAAATCTCAATGGAAACATCTTCCTGACACATTAACCTTTCGGAGCAAATCTGCAGGAGCTGTAGATGCTCATTACATTTTAGCCACGCCGCTAGAAACACACACCAGTACCTCAAATGACTCCCAACAGTGCAAAGTTTAGTGCTGCCAGGGAAAAGCTGGGTTAACAGGTACGTACCTACGCAAGGTCAATGCTGGAAATCACACTCCCTCGTGTGATTTTTTTCCCTTTCTCTCGTTGCCTTCCCATTATTGCGCTACGTTCCCCCTGGAGATCCTGAGCGTCTTCAGCCTGCCGTGCCCGAGTGATGGACAGCCACAGCCCCGCTGCTACCCTGGAATTTGCCTTCTTGCCTCCTCCGCCAGTTGGATCCAGTATAAAAGCACAGCAAGGAGCTGGCTCAGCTCTTGGTCTTTTACGGATGTCTCCCACCACCATCGGTCGCCTTTCCCGGAGGGTGGTCACATCACAAGCCCAGCTCCTGCTCCTGGCTGTTTTGCAGGCAAGTGCTCACACAACAGGTCACATTCCCCACGCCGACTGCCTCAGTTTGGATGATTTGCAGCTCAGAAAAGCATGTCCGATTAGGATAGGAAGCCCAGACAACTGAAAGACCAACTTTCCTTTCCTCCTGAGCTGGTAGGAAAAGGTGATGGGCTTTAAGTCTCTCCCTGCCTCCGACACAGAGAGCATCTTTCCTTGAACACGTCTGCACCCGCAGCAGGAGGAGGAGGAGGAGGAAGGTACCAGCTGCCCAAGGACTACAATGAAAAGCTCGACCGCCCCTTTCACACCCAGATGGTCGCAGAATGAACCCACCAACACAATTACAGGCGCTGCCTCGCATCCCTGCTGCCAGCACCTGCTGCCCAGAATTAAATCCCTCATTATCACCCCCCTAAATCTGGGAGCTCGGGGGGAAGCGCAGAGCACGGGAATATTCAAACCTTCTGCCTTCAAAACAACAACAACAAAAAAGGATTTTGCTTTAATGTATTTTTAAATAAGAAACAGCCATCTCCGTGTTTCTTTGTTTAAGAGCAGATTACTTACCTGGGGCAGGCTAGGAGAGCAACACCTACTTCCTGAGCTGAAGCCAGCCAGGTGTGATGCCCACAGGTTCAATAGCCTCCCCCCGGGGGGGGGGCAACCTTTTCCAAGGATAACCTGCTCACCCCCTGAGGACAACCTGCTCACCCCATCGGCGGAGCGTGGAGAAGGAGAGGTGGATGGTGGATTAGTGCTCCCGACCGGCAGCAGCGAGGTCCAGCCGCATCCCCAGGGATGATGCCCACGGCTCGATGAGTCACACCACCCTAGGGATGCTGGAGGAGATGTTTGGCCGGGAAGGGCACAGCACGTCGGGCTCGCAGCTCTGGCTTCTCTCCCGCGCAAAAAACACTCCACGCACTTTCCTCCTCCCCAGCTCCTTCCTCCTCCCCAGCTCCCTCCCCTCCACACCGCTGCCAGGCGGCTTCAGCAGCCCCGGCGCCTACACGTCAGGAACAAGTAAGTACAGGAACGATGATTTTTTGAAAGTCCAGGACACATCAAACATCATAGATAACTGAAAGGCTGGGTGATAGCCTCTCCTGAATCCACAGAAAGGATTAAAAAACGCAGCTTCCTCTCCGAGGCAGGAGAAAAAAAAGCTGAGAACAATGAGAGATTTAAGAGCTATGAGATAATCAACTTTATACAAAGTCCCCTGCGCTAAATGGAAAAGATGGAACACCAGAGCAGTGGTCACAAAGTACAATCACCAAGTTAAATTAGTATCTGAAAAAAAGAATGTTTATAGAGGTTTCTGTGTGTACCAAGGTACAAGATGAAAGGGGAAAAAAAGAGAAAAAAGAGAAAAAAAAGAGAGAAAAGAGAGAAAAGATAGAAAAGATAGAAAAGAGAAAAAAAAAAGAGGAAAAAAAGAGAAAAAAAAGGAAAAAAGGAAAGAAAAAGAAAAGAGAAAAGAGAGAAAAGAGAGAAAAGAGAAAAAAGAGAGAAAAGAGAGAAAAGAGAGAAAAGAGAAAAAAGAGAGAAAAGAGAGAAAAGAGAGAAAAGAACAACAGGAAAAAAAGATAAAAAAGAACAGGAAAAAAGGACAACAGGAAAA